TTCAAATACAGGGTTTTTGTTTAAGTTAGAGTAGAACTTTATGTAATAAAGTGATAAAAATTAATTAATTTCAAGAATACATAGTGCATTTTCAAAAAAACGCAAATAAATCGAAAATTCTCAAAGATAGGTATAGGGATTGTTTAATAAAGTAATATTATTTTTTTAATTACAATTCAAAATTAAAGTAAAATACAGGGTGTCCCATTTAAGTTAAGAAAGTAATTATACAAAATATGGTACAGCATTGACACTTCAGATTGCGAACACTCTGTAGATTAGTTTCAAATGGTAATTATTCTGATGTAAAGCATGGACACTTGACAATTAACTGACAAAAAGGCGTTAATTAAAATTCATGCGATATTGTGTAATTAATTAATTTCGCGAATAGTACATTTTCAGAAAAACCCAAATAAATCGAAACCGGTCAAAAATAGGTATAGGGAATGTTGAATAAAGTAACATTTTTTGTTCAGTAGAATTCAAAATTAAAGTGAAATATATGTTGTTCCATTTAAAAAAGTTTATATCATTACGTCAAATTGGGACACCCTGTATATATCTCATAAATTTTAATTTGTAACCGGTACTAACCTACGTATTAGTGCAAAAGAAATTTTTAATATCTTTAGCCGTTTCCCCGGTAGGCTCCGTCCCGTTGAGCGTGACTCACCCTGTATATATAATATATTTCGAAATATATTTGTTAAAGCTTTGTTAAACTAACAGTCGCATATTTATTTGTGCTCTCCTACGGATAGATATGAGTCGTAAGTAGTTTACATCTAATACCGATATTCGTATACATAACGAAATATCTGTTACAGGTTAACTTCACGACAGAAACGCCAACTAGAAGGGTGTTTGTGCAGAGTTCCTTCTTCCTTTTACAATCAAGTATGGGACGTCATGACCAGAACTCCGGAAGGAATAAGAGTTGCCGGCAATCTCATTCCACAACAGCCAACGTTGTCGAATATGACCAGATCGGAATTGACGTTTTCTCTTTTGGTCGAAGAGGTACGTAAAATTCAATTTAAATATTTAAGCTTAATCGATTTCATTATTTAATTACTTAAATAATGTCTTAAATAAACATTTAATGGACAAGAAATTAGTCGAAAACATTATAAACATGGTAAAATTTTACATTAGCGGGGATCGTTGAGAATGCTCAATGTATTTTTAGAATTAGAACACGGAAAAAAGTCAAATTTTACATGATTCTTGTCGAGTGACTGTCACTCGACAGTGACGAAGAGGCAGATTGAGACCTCAGTTTCGTTTGACGGTTCTTGTATTTATATATAACACGATACTGGTACGTCACGAGTGAGAAGAGTAGGTAGATTGAGACCCCGAAGTCGAACGGAACCGTATCCATCTTGAAAATGGCTCCAAAATGGGTGCCGAAACGTCGATCATTAAATTCTCAACGAGGTTCTTCCCGAGAACTTAGTGATTTTCATATATATGTATACCTCCTTTGTAAGGATGTAATGGTGTCATGTAATTTGTTTGACTATTTCTGTCCAATTATCTCTCTCCTATGTGTGTTGTTTTGCTTCACAGAATGAGTAACCAGTCATGTCCTTTATTTGGTCCCACAAATTATTATTTTGGTCAAATAAATTATTTTTTATGTGTTTGCAGATGCTCAACCATGTTCAACAACCCGATTATAGACAGCTTATAGTCGAACTGTTGACGATCGTTTCCACCATATTAGGACGAAATCCCGAATTGACATTCACCAAACCGTTGGATCTGGAACAGTTGATTAAAGATGCTGCTCATATGTTCGCCAAAGTAAGTAAAAGAGGCGTCAAATTTAACTTTATAACGGTTTATCGATCGAAATAAGTAGTTCGCCTAACAATAAGTATTTTTAGTAATTTTTGGTCGTAATTAAAATATTTCGACTCTTTTTAGCTCAAAGTAGCAGTTTCGTAATTTCCTCTTCTGAATCTATCAATCTTTTTCTACAGGTTTTTGTTATGACAAATAAAACAGTTATTATAAACATGTTTGTACTATTCACGATGATCTTACAATTCTGACATTGTAGGTCCGAATTCATCCCTACTTAAAGTTATGCAACTCTAAATACAAAACTATTGAAATTATAAAATTGTTAGGCAACTAATACTGCACTAATTAAAGCAAAAAATTTAATATTTCGATCCAATAATACTCTCTGTATTATTATGAGGTATTCCCCTAATTATAATTTTGTTTAGGATCACGATAGACCCGAAGAAAACGTGGAGAATTTATTGGAGATTCCTTATGTTAGATCTACAGGATATCTAGCTAGGGCTGTAGTCAATACTGTGCTTAAAGGCGGTCAAATTTCGCAAGATTTAGAAAATGATCCAGAACCGTGCAAGTTATCTTAATGTTTCAGATTTAGAACTTAGTTTTTGGATCTTATAATAATATATCTTAAATATTAAATCGACTAGGTGCTTTTCTACAGCAATAACACTGTTTTTGTTTGTTATTTTCATAAAATTATGGAATACTATACTTAGTTAATAGATGAGATTAAAAATGTGCCATGTTGGTTATTGTTCTGAAGCTATTTTCTTGTGGCATTGTAAATGAATTACTATTTATAACTGGGAATAAGCCACAATTAAAGATAAAAAATACGTTTATTGACGTTTCAATTTCCAATTCGGAAATCGTTCTCAAAATACAAACAGTAAATTAAACAAATTTTGTTTTTTGTTACATAGTGAAAAAATTCTTCTAATAATTTAATTTTATCTGACTCATTTATATTGACAATTCAGACATACATTATGCATTTTAAAGTAGACGACTTTAAAATGATATTGCCAATATTGTTGAGTTGCGCTTATTATTAATTGTGGCTTATTCCCAGTTATAAATAGTAATTCATGTTGGTTATTGTTTGTATTATATAAAAATAAATAATTATTGTTGACATTGCGTTTTTTATTACACTACAAGTGAATCCTTATCAATATCCCCTGTATGATTTTCTGCTTTATCTATTTATAAAATCTATACAGTCTTAAACTGTTTAAGAGCTTTTCGAAATAATTCGCACATCGATACTAACCAGTATTATCTGTTATGAAGATGGCAACTCAGAGGAACTTAGCGATCTTCAGTCGCTCATGAGCGCGAGGAATTGATCGACATGACTACCAAAAGGATATAATTATGAAGTACTATTTAGAGATTGGCCTGCTGAACAGGATATTTATAAATGAAATTATCGTTTTTAGGTTTTGGTTTGGTTTTTAATATAAATTACCTGAATTGTGTACTAAGCGTTTTTAAGTAACAACATTGCAAAATTCAAAAAGTTATCTTACCTAACAAAAAAAAAAAAAAAAAAAATTGGAAGTCTTTCAATTAACAGATTTTCTAGACAGTCTAATTCATATATTTGTTACTTAAACATAAATTTTATTAAGTATATTTGTTTACTCAACTTGTAAACAATTTAATGTGTTTTAAAGAATTCCCTAAATAGGAATGGGAGCACTTTTCTTTAAAATGTGTGTGAATCATTGTAACTTTCGAAACTGGAAGCATTTGATATGTGGCTATATCGGAGAATACTTAAGATCTCGTGGACTGACCTCAGAAGGGATAGAGGAAGGAGGTCCTCAGAAGAATGAATAAGAACCGAGAGGTACTGACCACCATTAAATCCAAGTTACAATTCTTGGGACATATGCGAAATGAATCCAGATATGCTCTCCTTCAAGCCATCCTGTAAGGAAAAATATTTGGAAAGCGAGGTCCAGGAAGAAGAACATCTTGGTTATAGAACCTCAGAATCTGGTTCAATACAACATCTGTGACCTGGATTCATTGAAAGACTCGCCACACTGAAGAGTATGAGATAGAAGGAAATATAGTGACCCGTCTGCCCTTGAAAACCTAATAGCATTCGGAATTGGAAGAAACAAGAGTTAGCCAAGAGAGGGTGATAGGAAAGATTAAAGACAAATCAATCAAGACAAGTTGAAAAAGAATAATTTGTGAAGGCCCTTATGATGCACCAGGTGCGCTTCATAAGCATATGAGTATTTATGTACCATACCTCAGTGTGTTGACTACAGACTGTATGGCTCGTCCAACTTGCCATAGCATGGAGGATAGGGTGCGCGTCATTTTTGACCACACACATCTTGATAAGAATAAATTTTGCAGTAGGGGAGGAAAAAGAAAAATGAGCTCAAGCATCAAGACAGTGAATAGAAAGGGGAAAATGCAAAATACTGAGAAGCATTTAAGGAAAAATAAAGAGTGAGGAGGGATGGAGAAGAACCAATCACAAAGTATATGAGCAGTAAGGTAGCCTGAAATTACGACATCTGTCAAGGCACAAATAATCATGGAATGGACAGAAAAGATTAGGAGTGACTTTAAAGCAGCCTTTTGTCCTAAGACCTGTTGTGCAGTAAATAAATAAATGCATTGTCTAGGATCTGAATGACTAAATTATCAACTGATGGAATTAACAATACAGAACCAGATGCCAAAATACCTCGGCATACATCTAGATAAAACTTTTTCTTACTGATACCACTGTCAAAATATCAACTAAAACGTAAACACAAGAATAAGATCATCTGCAAACTAATACTAGTAAAATTCAGATTTTGTAGTAAGGTGTCTGTTATATAAGCTCATCCATTCTTCATGCAGTTGGTCTTTGGATTCACTCCTCTGCACTTCTCTAAAAATTTTGGCTTAGCAGCACCCAAAATAAGAAAAAAAAAAACAATTCGATTGCACACTACAATAATACACCAATGCAATTTCATGTATTTTTATTTTTACACTACATAAAAATGAGTAATTTTTGGTTTGGTAATCACTGTCTTTTTTTAAGTCTTAAAATGATATACATATCCGTGCACATTTAAAGAAATGCATATAAATAAATTATTTAAAATAAATTATAAAGTTTAAAAATGTCACCTAATAATTATTATCTATAAAGAATATCAATCAAGATGCGGTAAAATATAATTATCACATATCGTCATGTTAAGATGCCACATGAAGTGGTTGACGCCTGGCACAGTGACTAGCTTTAATTTCTTTTTTTCATAAAGCGTTTTCAATCCAATCGAGTCCTGCTGAAATATGGCACGATCCTTGATATCTATCACTGTTCCGTTTTCGTTATAGTATCCAAACTGACTAAAAATAAACTTAATATTAACAACAATTTACAACAAATATTATTTATAGCATTATAGCTTCGGAATTTTAATATTAAATTTGAGTAATATTGGGAATATAAATGGTTTTGATGTTATTGTCAAATGTATGAACTTTTATCCATATTTTAACCACAGAATAATAAACAATCAGAATGCCCACTCTCAGATGCCGCCTTTGAAGTTTTTCAGCACACGCGCCATGTTTTAGAAGGAAATAAATAACACAGACATATGATTTGTGAGGTTATGTAATTGTTTATATTTATGTTTAATTATATTATATTTATGACATTATATTTAACAATGTTAATATAATTGTATAGTATGTCTATGATTGCCGTAAGTCAATTAAACAGAGTTAATTTTTCTATGCACACCACATAAACAACACTGGTTCCCTCTAAATCATGGCGGAACGTCTACGCCAAGGATATGCGCATACTTAATTTTCCATGGAGAGTGGGCATTCTGATTGTTTATTATTCTGTGTTTTAACCAAGAACAACACTTACATAGGGTGTAAGTTTTATATTTTGTATAGAGAGCAGGATTGAAATAGTTGATGGCTTTTAAAAAAGATATTGTCAGGCATGATTATGTGCGACTAAACATTTATCATTTTCTTGCAATAAAAATTTGCTTGTTTTTGTGTGTGTTCATTTTTTGAAGCTCAGTGATGACTTGCAGCAAACAAATGATTTTTTAACAATCAACAATAACTGTTGTGTGTTCCTGTAGTGGAATCATTGTCAGACATTCTGATATAAAAACAAATGTCTGACCATTTTTTAGAAACACTTATTTTTTTAAACTTGGATCACTTAAACATACCACTGGCTTTTAATTTCTGGATTGTATAGGTAAATCCACAATGCATAACCTCTCACGATATTGTAAATATTAATAAGTTTCCTGCATTGAAGAGGACTAGAGTTTGTTTACACCAATTCATTGTAAATGTCAATGAAATACACTACTTTTCAATTTTGTAATGAAACAAATCATAGATGATGTTCTGAAGCTATTTTCTTGTGGCATTGTAAATTAATTATTATTTATAACTGGGAACGATTTCCGAATTGGAAATTGAAACGTCAATAAATGTATTTTTATCTTTAATGTGGCTTATTCCCAGTTATAAATAATAATTAAATCATAGATGAATTTAAAAAGGCAGATATTGAAGATAATCTTCAATAATAATCTAAGGGTATACTAATAAATGATTATTATATATTATTACATACCTAGATTGCCAAGGTGTTATAACATTGTCGTCAGGCCCCCCAATCAATACAAGTCTATCTAATTTGAGCAAAGCATTTTTGAAATCATCACTTTTAACATTTTCAATTTCATTATTTATGTATGGCAAATATTGAGAGTACTTCATGTACAACTTTTTATGATAAGGATCATTCCAATAATTTCCTACAGAAGTATGTTGTCCAACTCTAGAATAAAATAACTCAAAAGCTGTTTCTAAAGCTAATCCTGGGAAATATAAATGAAGAAACTGTGCTAAAAAAATCAATGTGTAAGAATTCTTTCTTGTAATGTAAATATTTTATTTCTTACTTCCATATTGTCCAGCTTGAGGACCACTTAATGATATGTATCGATGAACTGTGTGATTTGGATTAGCTTGAAGAATAGTTCTACCAAGAAGAGCACCTTGAGAATAACCTGAAAATGGTATTACAGAGTCACATAATAGCTACGTATTGTGTAAAATATTTACCTATAAAGTTGACACCTTCTGGATATTTCATCGTGATATTTGTTATAGTTTGAGAGACTTGTTGAACTTGATACCACATATTTTCCAAACTATACCATCCTTCAAATTGTTGAATATTATACACAATAGTGCCTGGATGTTTCTACAAAATCACATCAGCTGTATGAATTTGGTAATGATTTTTAAAATATATTACCTCTTCTATTCGTTTCTTAATTAGCTCCATGCTTTCCGCACCAGTCATAACTCCATGTAATAAAATAACAGGCTTATAACCATAAGTTAGTGTGTATACCACACTAAAAAGTAGAATAAAGAATACATTTTTCATTATGTTTGGGGAGAATGTGAACGTTTATACAAATCAGCGTAAAAAACTTTTCATAGTAGGTATGTCTCCCTTTTATTGTTTCCAATAACCTTGGATTGTTTTTTTATGAAAGAAAAACAATGAGTGAGTATTGATAAATTTAAAGAAAAGGTCACGGACGAACTTCATATCAAAACAAATAATTGCGACAGCTGATACAAGGACACATATGCGTCTATATTTTTTGCTATCATGATCATGAGCGGTTCTAGGATTAGGATGCATAGTAGCAGCTCCCCTTGTAAAAGTCCTGAAAAAGCATGTCATGTAAAAAAAGAGTTGCCAGTATTGATAAATTTAAAGTGATTTAAAGAAAAGGTCACGGACGAACTTCATATCAAAATAAATAATTATAGCTGATTATAGCGACAAGCATGATACAAATACAAACAGATAAGATACCGCGCATGTGGGCGTGGCTTATGCATGACTTTTGTGACGTCAACTTGTGCTAAATTTCGCCATATTGTGTTTTGACGTTTATGTACATTTACGGTTCATAGCCAATATTTAATAAAATAATATTTTAAAAGTGTTACAAGGCTTTAAATTTTTCCCGATATGAGGTGTGCACTGTGTGGTTGAGCCATTGACAATATGTGCAAGAGTTTTGTACCCGGTACAGCATTTTATAGCTTTCCAAAAGACAAGCAAATGCAAGAAGTTTGGAAACATTTGTGTAAACGCCAGGATAATTTTAATGTTAGATTTGCTTGTATTTGCTCTAAGCACTTTGTTGAAAGTGATTGAAGTGATGAATCGGTCATTCAGGCTGGCAAAGTATAAAACAGAAGTCAACTACTTTATAAGTTTATAGAAGACGTTTCGTACATTTGGCTCCATTTGGAGATGGTTCTCCAATGAAGACAAACAAAACACTGGTGAGTGTTTTGTTTGTCTTCATTGGAGAACCATCTCAAAATGAAGCCAAATGTACATTTAAAATTTTGTTAAATCTTCGTTTCTGCGAATGATATTATTTTTTGCAAAGTTTTTGTGTCCTTTGTTTCTGTTTTTTTTAAGTTAGTTCTAAATAATGAGTAAACTTAAGTACATATATAATAACATCTTTAATACTACATATTGAGTTAGAACTGATGAAGCTTTAGAAGTATAAAGCGAAATGTCTTCTATAAACTTATGAAGCAGTTGACTTCTGTTTTTTATTTTGCCAACCTGAACGACCGATTAACCTCTGAATTCACTAGTTTAAGAATACTTTATTAATATATTTACATATTAATATATATATATATATATATATATATATATATATATATATATATATATATATATAGTTGGGAGATTAAATAATTATAACCATATTTTAGCATATCATGAAGAAGCGAATAAATTTTGTGAAAGCTAACTAAAAGAACAAAGAGTTTTACTTATCCTGCCCTATTAATGACTGCAACCTCAAAAGAAAAATATATATGTAGGTAGGAGATTAAATAATTATAACCATATTTTAGCATATCTTGAAAAAGCTAATAAATTTTTGTGAAAGCTAAATAAAAGAACAAAGAGTTTTACTTATTCTGCCCTATTAATGACTACAACCTCAAAAGAAATAGTTTACCTAACGTGTCAGTCAATAATACCTAACTACTATATATAAAATATATATTGTATGAAAATCACATTCCATAGTTTGCAATTTGTGGCATTCGGCCATGGCTCCCTCCATCAAATTATACTCTTATGGGAAAATTGTTATTTTTTACAATATACTAATTTAAATACTTAAGCTTAAATTCACGTAGTAAATAAAACATCTAGTAAATTATATTAGAATTTCAACAGTTCGTTTCATCCGCAAGCATGAATACATTTTGAAAATTTAGCACAAGGTGACGTCATGCGCGTGAGTGTACGAGTTTAGTGCGTGGCAATATCATATCTGGTATCCTTATATCATGAGCGACAAGCGACAAGGACGCATATGCGTCTATATTCTTTGCTATTATGATCATGAGCGCTTCTAGGATTAGGATGCATGGTAGCAGCCCCCTTGTGAATGTCTTAAAAAAGCATGTCATGTAAAGCAAAGAGGTTGCCATACAAGCTTTTGCAAAAGGCAACGGCGTATATACCGACCAAAATACTTATTAAATCGATAAGTAATTGCTAAATCACGTGAGAATTAACAATAGAGTGTTAGTAATATTCTAAAGACTTATTTTATAGCATCGGCATTAGTAATTAAACAATGGATTTCGCCATTGCAGAAATTGAGAGTCAAATGAGGCAACAAGAGATTTTAAGTACACTACTGTTATACTGGTGGCACCTAATTTAATTATAATGTCACTACGTAATGATATAATAGTTACTTTGCGCATTGTTCGAGTTTTCCAGCACTATATAATATCCCGTTCTCTATTTTCCCTTTTTAACAACGTGCAGAGGCGCGATGATCAGTAGAGTCTCCATAACGGTTGTTGGTGCGCTCCTTAAAGTTTTTGCAATTTCAAGGTATGCAAGTCTTGCATCTTCTTTAAGATACTGTTTCCCTGCATATTTTCACCTTGATAATTTGAGGATAGCAGTTTTCTGAGAGCATTTGTTTACTATTAAATTAGTCACCACTTTTTTTTTCATTTATTCAATGGTTGCAATAGTTCTTTTGCCCATAATAATTAGAATTGGAGCCGCCACTGCTGACTAACCATATTGACGTGTAAAACTAAACTTTCTAATTGACATACGTCACACTATGTCAACATCTGTTCATCTGTCAATAAAAACAACAACACAAGTCATTAGTGCAATTATATTGGTTTTCACGATATTTTTATCAATATAAAATGAACCACGAAGAGAAAATGATGATAGAAGACAACAATCCAACACTCGGCCAACCACTGAGTGATTTTCTTCTGCAACTAGAAGATTACACCCCAACTGTAAGTAAAATAGCCATTCTTTTTATAAACCCTGTTCTAAGTTGTTATTTTTTAGATTCCAGACGCCGTAACTGCATACTATTTACGATCTTCAGGACTAGAGCCTAAAGATCCAAGATTGGTGCGTCTAATCTCGATAGCAGCGCAAAAATTTATATCTGATATTGCTAATGATGCTCTTCAACATTGTAAAATGAGGTCCACTAATTCTTCAAGCCACAGTGGATCCAAGGTTAGTTAGTTCCTCATAAACTACATTAAACAGTAATTACTTTTGAATTAAATGTACATTTTTTCATTTGAAATCATTTTCAGAGCAAACAAGGGACGAAAGATAGAAGATATTGTCTAACTATGGAAGATCTAACACCAGCATTGGCAGAATTTGGAATTACGATAAAGAAACCTCACTATTATGTATAAAACTTACCTATAATATAATATATTAATTGCAATTTTTTGTTTTGATACATTTAGGGTGATTTTTGTTTTAAAAATACAAATTTAGAAAATAAATGGTAAAAAAATGTGAAGTCTGTATTTTGTGCTTCACCATTGTTAAAAACACAGCTTAAAACTGGTACTATATTTCCCAGAGGTTTTGATAAGGGTGGTATGGAGGAGCGTAGAGAAATAAATTTAAACATAAAGCTTTATATAACTGTATACAATAAAAAAGTAAACAAAATTTACTGATTTTCATCTAAAAACTTCTGCAGCAATGTACTGGCTAATGGAATCACCAAATACTCAGTCCCATCAACAGATCTCTTCATTTTAAGCATCTTGTGGTCAACAAATTCAGTAAGTTGGGCCCTCAACGCCAAATCCGAGCTGACTATGAAGGCTTCTCTGCACATCTGGTATAAATCCTTGAATGCTAGTCCCTGGTAGTACTGAGACTTGCCATTTTCTATCTGATGTGTAACTATTAGATTATAAATACTTTTAGAATTGGAAGTTAGAGAAGCAAAAACATTCCGTAGAGATGATAGAGCCAATGTGCTGCTTTGTTGTACCATCATAGACTGTTCAAATGAAGTTTCTTCCTCATAAGTTGCAAACGATGTAACATCCCACCAAATATAATTAAACTTACTGAGTTTGTTGTGATCCCATATTAAGGGAGCATTGATGTGATCTATGGAAGCTATAAAATGTATATTTTTACTAGACGCTAATTTGGCAAGAATATTCTGTGTTTTTCCATTTCTTAACGTCTCACCCTCAATATTATGTATAATTATATATAGACAGCTATCAGGAATTTTTTGGAATTCACTTATTATTAAATCACAAGCTTCTATAGGATTCCCAGGGATATCTTCAATCTCTAACAGATCCAAAATTGCATCTAATACACTTTTAATATTAATACTAGGAAAATAACCATTTACAACAATGACAGGTTGACTTCTTATGTATGAACTTTGAAACTGACTGATAATATTTCTCTTAGATCCTAATCCATATAAAAGTATATTAAAATTTTCATTTAAAAAGTAAAGCCATTTCGTAAAATAATTTTCATTAGCTTTTCTTAATTTTTGTATTGCCTCAACGTGTTGATTTGAAAGAGAAACTCTGTGTAATAACTTTTGAAGTTGATATTGGGGCAGTCTTGGAGTCTCTAATCTTTCAAGGGTATTATTTGAAGTTTCTATTTTCTTAGATGATGTTTTTTCGAAGTACTCATCTGTTTTAATATGATAGTTTCTGCTCCTAGTTTGTGTGGTTTGTAAATTAGCTTCCTTGAATATCATCTTTTTGTTTTTAATATCCTGAAATAAAAGAAGTTAGACACAACATAACGTAATTTGCTAATATTAAGTACCTTTGTATTTTTATCATCAGAATCTGAGCCAGAACTGTCTTCACTTTCATTACTGCAACTACTACTCTCAGACTCTTCAGAGGAGACTTCAAATTCACTTTCACTATCCTCTTTTATCATTTTTGCTATCCTACTTTTTGTTTTTGTACGAACATGCTTAGGAGTTTTTAAATCACACGCTTCAGCTACTTTTTGAGCAAGTGCTTCTCTGTTCTTTCTTTTTTGGAAAGTAAATATATCTTCTCCATGGACAACCTCATTTTCATGCATCACTTTCGGCTTCTTTACATCTACGTCTATATTTTCTATATTTATTTCATCTTCGGATTCATCATCGCTGTCTATAACTTGCACAATACCTGAATTTTGTATTTTAAGGGAATAAAGAGATTCTAGTGCTTTTAAACTGGGTTTCTTTGTTCGTGCTGTTCGTCTGGAGGGTGTTGAAGATTCCATTTTTAAAACTTCTCTTTTTTGATCTTTAATATATCTTTCTATTTTATAAAATTGAAACTTTGTTACACATAAAAATAGATATAAATATTTATATACTAAATGGCGCCAAAACATGAATCTTCTTTTTATTTTTGACAAATTAAATTTTGGACAGGATTTTTGGTATCACAGAATACTTTCTTATTCTGTGCTTATACTAAACTAATGAAGTATACATATTATTTCAATAAATTCCTTTGTCAACTTTAGACTATTCGAATCATATACATTAAAATTGCATTTCATAATCTTTTTAATCAAAATATTTCTACAAAAAGTGCATGAAATAAAACTCAAGTGTCACTGAATATGACCTATTCTATTGAAGCATTCAGCTATCTTTACATTTTATTAGGTTAAGTTTTAGAGAACACTTTATAGGTTATCTGATATTCATATCTAATGTTATTGAAATTCTGAAATGGATAAAACTGATGACTATGAAATGTAAGTTTATTAAAAATTTAATATACTGAACTTAATCTTACAATTTTATCTTATAGTGATCTTGAGGTACCATTCCAAAGTCACAGAATCGCAGAAATTGCTTATGATGTATTGAGAGTAGATAAAGAACCTGCTAGAAGTGGTGTTACCAAGGTTTTACGGGTAGAGGAGGACAAATTAATAGCGTAAGCTTGTCATATGTTACTACTTTTGTAATATACAGGTTGTTTTATTTTAGGCATTTCTCTGCTACCCTGCCAAAGCAATTGCGGGTGGCAGTAACTGGATTTTTCGAAAAATTGCAACTAATATCTGAAACTATCGAACTTTTAGGACCTCCACTTAGTAACGAGTACAATTACTATTAACAATGCCAGAGCATACTCCTGCACCAACACCAAGTAGAGCTGTGTATGGTTTTGTTATGTATCTTTCCTTTAGAATATTTTTCATAGTTTATGTTATTTGGGCTGTCTTACCAGAGAAGTATTTCAAAGCAGTTGGTATAACATTTCTTCCTCAGAGACATTGGGCAATAACAGTACCTGTTTACTTGTTAACAGTGCTCACTATTGTTGCGTTTGTTATTTATCCAAGTTTAGGTCTTTGTATGACACCAACGGTTGACGATATGAGGACGATCAAAGATAAAGTGGGGAGTAAAAAGAGACATACTAAGGTACATTTAGATGGAGGAAGTAATGGTATAAGTACAAGTTGTGTATGTAAAGAAAAAGATAAATGTTCTAAGCAATTATATAATAAAATACAGCATACATTTGTAAATAACACTATTCCTATTTTACATGATTTGGAAATATGGGATGTATCAGATCACTTGTATTTAAATAGTTAGCATTAGATAGGTTTTTATATATGTTAAAAATTCAAATAAACCATTTTTTGGAACTGAGCGTTTTCTTCATTAAATATAATTATTTCAGAATGTAAATTTATTCTGAGGTTAGATAATTATGGTTATAATATTTTATATTAGCTAGAAAAATGGCAAATGTAGCAGAAATGGAAAATGCTATTCTGAATTAGATGAAGAAGCAGAGTTGATAAAATTTATTATGAAAAGTGTAACAGCTCACTAGCCTTTGTGGATTTGGTCTATGTGAAACAATTAAACAGAAAACCAACTTCACAAAAAAGATCATTGTTTTGTTATTATTTCTATTGTATTAATTAAATCTATGAAGATCTAAAAGATCATATGATAACTGTGCAAAAAAATGTTATTTATTTATAAATGTTAATCATTTAGAACATGAATGCCCAAATATAAAAAAATATATGCTACCAATTAATGACAATGAAGTCAGACTTATTAGTATGGCAGATGCCAAAGATATGATTGTGGAAGTACATGTTTTGATTATATGAATATCCCTAAAGCAACTTGGATATCACCAAATAGAAACACCACAAACCAAACTGACCTTAGTCCCTTCAAATATCGGTCTTTTCAACCAAAAAAAAAGTATAGAAATTTAAAGAAAAGCCTTTCGAATATCCGGCACAACTCCTACCTTTTGTTGTCTGAATCGTAATAGAACAGAAGGAATAAGTTTAATAAAATTAGGCCCTACCTCCAAACACTGATTTAAAGAAGGACAACCCTGTTCATGAGATGATGCGTCAAAGACTGGTTTAATTTTTGTGATTTCACTATTATTTTTAATAACGGACCAGTGAGGTAAATAATGCACACAATATTTCTTTTCGGGATTATTCACTATTTCAATCACACCCCCTTCGGTATTCACCAGAGGGACCGCAGACGTTCGGATACAATTAGCGTCTCTTAGCAAAGACAATGACGTCGACTTTGCTAAGTATCAAGACAATTACTCTACACACACAAACACACACACACACTACACTAGGTACAGTTGCGGTCACGGAATAGTTTACAGGTTCACGTATCTAGGAGCCCATTTTTTAAATTTTTACTTCGTTTAAGCGCACCTTTTACGTCAAAGTGACGTTGCCAGTGGTGTACTAGCTAGAATAGGTAGATTAAAATTAAAATATCAAAATATTTTACAAAATGAAAAATATAGAAAACAGTTTTTTGAATAAAATGGATTATGATCTTAATAACGAAAATAAAGAAGTCTTTTTTTTTTAATATGCATTTTATTTTAAATCTATTTTATATTAAATAACGATAAACAATGATAAATAATAATTAATATTTGGTGGAAGCCCCATTCTTGTCAATACAATTTTGCAGTCTTCTGTTCATAGATAGCACCAATCCCCTCATGTTATAGTTAACAAGCTCTTCCCATGCCTGCTCAATTGCTTCCCATAATTCAATTCTATTCCGTGGTCTAAGGTTTCTTTCATTTAGTTTCTTTGTTAACTCTGCCCACACATTTTCGACGGGGTTAAAGTCTGCACTACGGGAAGGCCACGGAAGAACATTAACATCAGTTTCTTCTAGCCATTCTCGAACAATTCTACTCGTATGCACCGGGCAATTGTCATGTTGGAAGATAAAGTCGTTGTTGGGGAATCTCTGGATCACCGATGGCAACATTGTGTGCTCTATAATATGTTTGTAATATAATCCTGTTAACTTCTCCTCTACATGATAACAAACGCCCGGGCCTTCGGCACTTATCCATCCCCATACGTTGACAGAGAATCCTCCACTATTTCTTAAATGATGCGTATACTGTTCATCATACCTATGATTTCTCGGCCTATAAACTCTTATTCGACCATTATTATACGACTGAAATACTTTTTCATCGGAAAATACAACCCTAGACCAAAAATTCTCATCGCGGTTTATAAATTCATTACAAAATTCAACTCGTCTCCTCTTGTGATCCTCAGTCAAAAAAGGTTTCCGTGCAGCTACACAATTTAGCAGTCCACTTGCTTTAATTCTTCGACGTGCAGTGCGAATACTGCCTGGAAACGCTGCCTCTTCTCTTGCCTTTTGAGCTGTGGCAAAAGGAGATTCTCTCAAATAATCTACTAACATCTCATCCTGTTGATCTGTGGAAATCTTCTGCCCTCCTGAACCGCCCAACCGTGCTATAGAGTGAAAATTATCCCATCTTTGTTTAATCTTCCATATGCACATATGACTCACGTTCAAATCAGCAGCAACTTGCCTTAGTGACCAACCTTCTTCGAGTTTGGCAATTGCTCTTGCTTTTTGCGCATAATTTAAATGTATTCTAACCATTTTGGAAGAGTTTATTATACTTTTATTTTATTGTTGAACACTCGCGAAAGCATTGACGTTTTGAAATTTTTTGACTTTGACATTTATCAAATCCGTACGACACTGCAATTTTACAGTATTACAATATAAAAAGTAAGGTGTAAACTATTCCGTGACCGCAACTGTACCTGACTGTACGATGCCAATGATCATAGTTGTCGAGGCATTAACCCAATAAAAAAAAATCACACCCTCGTTCAACCACTCATTAAATATAAAGTTAAACGATTCCAACAAATTAGCCCTTTTCAACTTATTTAAAGTATTATTTAACCTTCTCCTAGCGACAACTAAATTATCTAAAAAAATTATCTGAAATTAAAGGATGCTCGTTCAACCAAGGTAACATAACTTTATACCTGCCTTCGCTGTCACATCGTACGGTCTCATAGAAAAAATTCTTAGCCTCTTCGGCCGCCACCTCTCGTATTCTCTCATTTTTTCTACAGGGTCGGTTATCCCAATAACTTCAAGCTCTTAGAGTTTCGCTACAGAAGAATTATCAACAAACAACGAAAATGTAATCATATTTGTGCTAAAATTAGAAGCAACTGCCGGCACTTTGCCCATAAGAGTCCAACCTAACAAAGTTTCAACTGCTACAAGATCACACTGTAACTTATATTTTCTCCCTGTATACAATTTGCCCACAATATTAGCTCCAAACAAAATCTCAGTTGGTGCTGTCTTTCCGACATCGCTGAATGAAATATTCATGTCACTGAGTTCCTCAATCCAAGTTCCGTCATAAATAGAAGAGACATACAAATTTTTGGTTGATTTAAGGCATCAAATGAACAAGCGTAGGTTCCTTCACACGCAGTTACCTCGTACAGTTTATGTCGTTGTTCAGAAGTGCTTCTACCACCAAATAATTCATGTACAATGTTTTCCGTTTATTTAATAGAAAAACCCATTTCTTGGACGCTACTTTATAAAATACAGAGTGGCCCAAAAGTCTGGAAACGGCTAATTATTTCGTAAATTACTAGACATAATTATACAAAATTTGAGATACGCATATTTTGGGATACGGAGATTCCATATTTGGTATTTGCAATGTTGCCAGATTTTCAGTTTCTCTTATATTACTGGTAACTTTGGTATTTCAAATGCATCACCCTGTATCTTCAGTCATTATTGGAATCTTCTATTAAATACGAGTTCAACCATATGTAGCACTTATGATTTTATGTAGTCTGTAAGGTCTTAAATACATAAAACAGAAGTCTGGCAACGTCTAAACTGTTTCAATACATTTTTTAATACTAACTATTTTCAAATACATTCAAACGTAACAATTGATAGTTTAGAATATTTTTTAACATAATAGTTACGTTATTAAGTATTCAATGTGTGCTCCATTTGTGAGTTGACAGCACTCTAATCGATGGTAGAATGCGTCTACCAGATTTCTCCATGATTCTCTAGAAATTATTCTGAATTTTTCAAGTATCTCTAATAAAAATAATCTTTAGGATTGAGATCGGGTGAACGTGGAGGCCATTCAATTCTACCTTGTCTACCAATTTATCGTCCGGGAAATATCTCATCTAAATAACTCCGAACATTTACACCAACTATCTGACGTTAAATTTCTTTCGATAAAAAATGACCCAATTAAATAAGTACCTACTATAACTGATCATACATTTAATTTTTGTGGTCTTTGAGTATGGTTTTCACGCATTCAGTGTGAATTTCACACGAGTTCAACCATATGTTCACTTGATTTTATGTAGTCTGAAAGATCTTAAGTACATAAAACAGTGCAAAATATGTAGATTTTAATAAATTTAAATATTTAAATGGAGAATGCCGTGATTTTGACATTTGTTCACCATTTAAATTATGAACTAAAATTGACAATAGTTGTGGTTCAAAAAGTTCTGCAATTTAAATTGATTCTCTAAAATGCCGTTCTCTAAACCGTTCTCCTATTCATAAGACGACGGTACAAAAAACTGTAAGGCGATTTGAGGAATCTGGAGAAGTAAAAGATAGATACCGATCAGGTTGACCGAAACGAGTTATCAATGACAACAAAACTTCAGATATAATCAAAGTTTTGTTGAAGATCCACATACATCCCCAGGCAGGGTTGCACAAGTACATGATGTAGGTCATTCTTCAGTCTTACGTTTATTACGTAAAAATAAATTTAAATCATACAAAATTAACTTATTGCAAGAATTAAGTGAAGATGACTTTGGTCGTAGATTAGAGTTTACTGAGGTAATGATGGATAAAATTGAAAATTATTAAAATTTCGTTAACAGAATACCAGAAACCATACTCAAAGACCACAAAAATTAAATGTATGGTCAGATATAGTAGTTACTTATTCAATTGGGTCATTTTTTGTCGAAAGAAATTTAACGTCAGATAGTTGGTGTAAATGTTCGGCGATATTTAGATGAGATATTTCCTGGACGATAAATTGGTAGACAAGGTAGAATTGAATGGCATCATTGAATTGAAAAATTCAGTTTACAAAACTTAACCAGCAAGTCTTGCTGAGCTAAGGCAACGAATTATCAATAAATTTCGAATAATTTCTAGACAATCATGGAGAAATGTGGTAGACGCCTTCTACCATCGATTTGGGTGCTGTCAACTCACAAATTGATCACATTTTGAACACTTAATAACGTAACTA